GCTACACTATACTACACTACGCTACACTATACTACACTACACTATCCTACACTACACTATGCTACACTATACTACACTACGCTACACTATCCTACACTACACTACATTACAGAAAGTAATCCACTGTACCCAAGGCCAACTGTATTTAATCTCATGATTAAATCATAACGGCATATAGTCAAGATTTCAATACGTATTTTAGGGTATACAATTTGATCCATAACACTGGTTTTCAAAGTTATTGAGGAGCTAGAAAGAGGGGAATGGAGTAGGATGTTAAAATGCCACAAAACTTGCTGTCATTACCAAGATTCAGCTATTTGGGTTTTTTCTTTTAATAACTTTATTTTTTGTTGTTGTTGTGGAGAATATACACAGCAGAACATACACCAATTCAACAATTTCTACATGTGCAATTCAGTGACATTAATTACATTGTTCAAGTTGTGCAACCATTCTCACCCTCCTTGTCTGAGTTGTTCCTCCCCCATTAACATAAACTCACTGCCCCCTAAAGTTCCTATCTAATCTTTCGAGTGGCTGTTGTCAGTTTGATCCTATATACACAGATCTTTAAAGAGCATAAAGCTCAAGACAGACATTCTTTACTAGTTAAGCTAAAATATTATTTGATTTTAAGACTTCAGGGGATATTTTTGGTTTAAGGTTTAAAGATTATCTCAGGGCAATAGTTTTATGGGTTCATTGATCCTCCATGGCTCCAGAAAGTCTGGAGTCCATGAGAATTTGAAATTCTGTTCTTCATTTTCTCCCTTTTGATTGAGATTCTTCTATAGAATCTTTGATCAAAACATTCAGTAATGGTAGCCAAATATCATCCAGTTCTTCTGCTCTCATGGCAAAGAAGGTGGTTGTTCATCGAGGCAATTAGCCACACGTTACATATCTTCCACACATTCCATTTCTTCCTTTTATTCCTGACTCTCCTTCTTCCTCTTTTGCTCCAGGCAAATAGAGACCAATTGTTGTTAACTGTTTTTTCTTATATAAATGCTGCTTGGATTGTTGCAAACCTTTGGTCAATTTCCAAACTTCTAAAAAAGTTGGTTTTGGCAAGTTTTGCCCGTGTTCTCATTGCTTTTGTGAATTTTCAAAGCTCTTTATTCTGACATTCCAGAAGTCCTTCCTCCAAGTTCTAGAATTCTAGAGACCCTTATTCATCCCTCTTGCCCTTTCAGATCTGTTCCCTTCAGCAACCACAGCGGGGTGGACTCCTGGTGTAACTTCTCACCCTTGACTCGGACACTGGACAAATTTGCCATCTATGACGAATTCCTGCAGCTGACCCAGAACGGTACCCAGCTACAGAACTTCACCCTGGACAGGAACAGTGTCCTAGTGGATGGTAAGGCTCCCTGGTCACTGGGACTGGGGGTTGAGTGGGGTTTGACTCCCACACCTGGGGCCTTCCTTGGGAATCTAGAGGCCTGGGATGAGTCAGCATTGAACTTGCTTAGACCAGCAGGAGGTGGTATGGTCCTCCAGGCTTTACCCACCACTGAAGGACAGAATGGGGGTCCCTGGGTAGCACAAATGGTTTTCACTCAACTAGTAGCCGAAAGGTTGGCAATTCAAATCCACCCAGAAGTGCTACATAAGAAAGGCCTGGCGATCTACTTCTGTAAGATTACAGCCATTGAAAACCCTACTCTGAAACATATGGGGTCACCATGAGTTGGAATCAACTCAATGACAACAGGTTTTTATTTTTTTTTAATGGGACATAGGAAGTCTTTTTCTCTCTTAGCCAGCTGTGTGACTTCAGACTAGTCAGTTCCCCTCTCTGGGCTTCTGTTTCCTTATCACTACACTGCAAGACACTTTGCGAGATGGTCAGTGAGGGCCTCCCTCTAAGATGTGTCTGATCCATTCTTGACAGCTGTAATGGGATGGACCTATTCTCCCTTTCCAATGCCTCCAAGCTGGCTAAACCTTGCACATCCATATTTATTCATTCAAAAAATGGTTGTTGAGTGTCTACAATGTACAATATACCAGGAATATAGCAGGAGAGGAGGCCCTGGGTGATACAAATTGTCTGCTAACTGAAAGATTAGAGGTTCAAGTCTACCCAGAGGTGCCTTGGAAGAAAGACCTGGTGATCTTCTTCCAAAAATTAGCTATTGAAAGTCCTGTGGAGCACAGTTCTATTCTGACAGACATGGGTTGCCATGAGTTGGAGTCAACTTGATGGTAACTGGCTTTCTCTGCTTGTTCATTATTATATTCCAAGAACCCAATATTCTGCCTGGCACATAGTAAACACTCAAACATATATATTGAAGGAAAAAACAATTTCATATACGATCCCTTTTAGGTTGAATGTGAATAACAAATGGGATGGGAGCCTCCAATGCCCATGTGCAGTGTTCCTGGTTTTGAATTACTCTTGTACAAGAGGACATTTGTGATTCTCCAGAACAGGAGTCAGCAGATTTTTTTCTGTAAAGGACCAGATATGTTAGGCTTTGTGGGCCACATAGGTCTCTGTTACATCAACTAAAGGACTTACCAATTCTTTTAAAAAGTAAAAACCATTGTCAACACACAGGCTGTACAGAATCAGGCCACAGACCTGACTTGGCTCACAGGCTGTAGTTTGCCAAGTCCTGCTCCTGATCAACACTATCCAATAGAACTTTCTGCAGTGATGGAAATGTTCTGTCTATGCTGTCCACTACAGTAGCCACATGTGCCTATTGACCACTTTAAGTGTGGCTAATGTGATGGAGGTACTGGATTTTAAATTTTATTTGAATTTAACCTAAATTTAAAAAGCCACTTGTGGTTAGTCCTACCATATTGTACAGCACATCTATCTTAAGTTTGACCCAAAAGGGGTCTGTTGGGTGTAGTGGATGGTCAGGTGCAGCATGAGGAAGTGAGACTCATGCAGGAAGGCCAGAGGACAAACAGAAGTGAGTACTCACAGGTCCCAGAGAGGAAACTACAGTACACCTAGACACCAGGCCACACAGGGGCTGTACCCACGGACAAAGCAACAATAAGCTGGAACTGTAGGAGGGGGCTAGCAGGGTAGGGTCTCGGGGTAAGAATGTGCTGAAGTCTTATTAGTCAATTTAAAGGTTTCTAGGGCATTAATGCAGGAAAATGGAGAAATTTCATCACAAGAATCATACTGGACATGGCTGGGAAGGGCAAGGAGTAACTATGCCATTGAGAGACTGGGTTACAAGATAGTAACGGGTTTTTATCACAGGAGACTATATGGGGCATGCCAGAGAGGGCTGGTTAGAAGCCATAACTGTTGAGAGACTATGTGACAAGATAGGAATGGCTGTGTCAGAAACTAGGGGAAAGTGCAGCTAGGAAGAATGAACAGATGCTGAGGTGGCAAATTATGGAAGCCACAAATTGGCCTCATGACAACATCTTTAAGAAGTTGACTGAGGAGAGGCTATACAACAAGGGGACCTGCAATTCTTTCCCTACACCTGGTGGATGCCGTATCTCTCTACACTTAAGGAGTTTATGCTGTAGGTGAGAATAATAAGAGCAGGCAGTTGTCACTTTTAAATTCTTTGATGTGAATCTATACAGACCAGGAAGATAATCAGAAAAGACTTCCTGGAGGAAATTACATTGAAGATAAAACATGGAAGATGAGTATAAAACAACTAGGTAAAGTTTGATAAGGGGATGAATATGTTTCTAGGCAGAGGAATAGCTTTTGAGGGGGAATTTCCAAATTTAGAAAGACCCTGAAGGCTTCCCAACTTGTGATGACCCATTCTCCTCCCACCACCAGTTGGCCCAGCCCAATTTGGGTCTCCCATGCGCAGGGGTATGAATTTGATTTAATTTATCATACCCTTTTGGTGTGCTAATGGCCTTGTGATGCAAACTGAAGTATTAGGGGTAAAATATCAGAGCCCCCAAATATATAAAGCAAACATTAACAGAATTGAAGAGAGAAATAGAAGTTCTACATTAAAAGTTGGAGATTCCAATATACCACTTTCTATAATGGACAGAACATCTAGAAAGAAGATCAATAAGGATACACAGGACCTGAATGAATCAACTAGACCTAGCAGACATATCTAGAACACTCCACCCAACAATATACAGTCTTCTCTGGTACACATGGATCATTCTCCTGGATAGACCACATGTTAGGCCACAAGCAAGTCTCGATAGATTTTAAAAGACTGAAATCTTACAAAGTATATTCTCTGACCACAATAGACTGAAATTAGAAATTTAACAACAGAAGGTAAACTGAAAAATACACAAATATGTGTAAATTAAACAACCAGTGGGTCAAGGAAGAAATCAAGAGAGAAATCAGAAAAGAACTGAATGAAAATGAAAGCACAACATACTAACACTTATGGGATGCAGTGTAGGCAGTGCTCAGAGGGAAATTCATAACAGCAGATGCCTATATCAAAAAAGAAAAAAGATCTAGAATCAATAACCTAACCCTACAGCTTCAGGAACTAGAAAAAGAAGAGCAAACTAAGCCCAAAGCTACCAGAAGAAGGGAAATAACAAAGATCAGAGTAGAGGTCAATGAAATAGAGAATAGAAATATCATGATGTCTACTTGACTTTAACATTTCAGTGAAAATATTAGCTGGATTAAGTGTAGCAAAGATGTTAATAATTGTTCAGTCTAGACAGATGTTCATTATATGTTCCTTCTATTTTTCTGTATATTTGAAAAGTTTTATTTAAAAAAATAAAACACACACATATACACTCTCCATTTCATTTATTTTCAGGGTATTCTCCCAACAGACATGATGCCTTGACTAAGAATGCCGGTAAGTCTCAAAGGGGAGTCCCTGGGTGGTGCAAATGGTTAATGCATTTGGCTGCTAACTGAAAGGCTGAAGGTTCAAGTCCACCCAGAGGCACATCAGAATAAAGTCCCAAAGATCTACTTTCAAAAAATCAGCCAGTGAAAACCCTGTGACCCACATGGGGTCATACGAGTTCGAACTGACTCAATAGCAATTTTTTTTTAAGTCTCAAGCAGCCCCAACCCAAGGTAGGGAGGGGACATCCTGATGATGTGCCTGTCAAGAAGCACCATGCACACAGGGTCTCTGATGATAATAAGTGTTGGCTAACCCATGTGAAGGACTGATGAGGCACAGTGAAGGGATAGTAGGAGTTCTGGCCTGCTGGGGAGTCCACTCTTTTGGGGCTTCAGAGCCATGAGGTGATTGGGCCACCAAGCTCTCCTCTGTGGGTCCATGCCCATCCTCAGGCTCCCCAGGATCTGAGCAGAAGCCCTGGGAGAGATGACAGGAGGTGGATTACCCCAGCACTTTTGTCTCCTCAGACCTCCCCTTCTGGGCCATCATCCTCATCTGCTTGGCGGGACTCCTGGGACTCATCACCTGCCTGATCTGCTGTTTCCTTGTAAGTGAGGGAAGGTTGCTTGTTTTCTTATTATTGATTTGTAGAAATTCTTTATATATTCTGAACAAAAGTCCATTGATGGGTATATGCTTTGCAAATATTTTCTCCCAGTCTGTGGGTGGCTTGCGTTTTAATTTCTTAACATTAGTCATTAAAGAAATGAAAATTGAAGCCACAAGAAATACCACTACATGCAGGCAGGAATGGCTAAATTTAAAAAGACTGACTATAACAAGTGTTGGTGAGGATGTGAAGCAACTGGAACTCTCATATAGTGCTAGTGGAAAATAGCTTGGACATTTCTTTAAAAGTTACATACACCTCCCATATGACCGAGCCAAATCCACTACTAGGAATTCATCCAAAAGAAATTAAGGCATATGTCTATGCAAAGACTTGTACACAAATGTTCATAGCAGCTTTGTTTATAATAGCCCAAATCTGAAAACAATGCAAATATCATCAACAGGCAAATGGATAAACAAACTGATATATCCCTACAAGGTAATGGTATTCAGCAATAAAAAAGAATGAATTATTAATACATGCAACAAGATGGATAAACCTCAAAATAATTATGCTGAGTGAAAAGAGCTCATATTATATTATTCCTGTTCTTTTTTTTAATTCTAGAAAATACAAACTACTCTATAGTGACAGGAAGCAGATCAGTGGTTGCCTGGGAATAAAGACAAGTTTGGAGGGGAGAGTGCAGAGAAGGAGGAATTACAAAAGGATATGATTAAACTTTTAGATAATGGGCATGCATTATCTTGATTGTGGTGACGGTTCAACTGCAAAACTTATCTAACTGCTTACTTTAAATATGTGCAGTTTATTGTATGAAAATTATACATCAGTATAGCTTGGGAGGTGGGGGAGGAGACAGAGAGAGAATGAATATGAAGGGCTATCAGAGTCAGAAGGGAGGATGTGAGACTTTGGCTCACTTATTTTAAACACGTCATCAGGAAAGACCAATCACCAAACAAAAAAATCATGTTTGTTAAAGTAGAGGGTCAGTGAAAACCCTTAATAAGATGGATTGACAGAATAGCTGCAATAATGGACTCAAACATATCAGAGATCATGGAGATGGTGCAGGGTTGGGCAACATAAGGTTGCTGTGAGTCGGAGTCAACTGAATGGCAGCTAACATCAGAGGACAAAAAGGTAGAAAATCTGAGAATGAAACGGGTGAGAGAAGAAAGGGAAGAGGTTATTAAAAGAAGAAAGACAGAAAGGAAAAGAAGGACTGAGGGAGACAACTAAATGGAAAAACAGGAGGGAGAGAGACATAGGGAGCAGAAGACTCCTGTGGCTTTGGCCACATACTCACTCCTGCAGTTGCACATACTCAGGCAGCTGACCCATCCATTCTGATGCCCTCTCTCACCTTCACAGGTCACCACCTGCCTGCGGAAGAAGGAGGGAGAATACGAAGTACAGCGCCACCGCCTGGGCTATTACCTGCCACACCTAGATTTAAGGAAGCTCTAATGACTGGATCTGTTTGAGGCCCCTTCCCCCAGCCAGGGTCCAAGGAAGCTTGGCTGGAGCAAAATAAACCACATTGGTCAGACACAGCCTTTTGTGACTTGGCTCTGATTGGTTCATAGGAGACTAGAAGTCTCTTCCTTTCTTTAGTCCTGAAGGCACTGTTCTGTGGCTTCACACTATTTCATCCCTCAGGGACACCAGATCTATTGAAACTGGTACAGAAATTGCCCATCGTATAAAGTCAATGTCTCACTGCTCTGTGAGGTTTCCCTTCTTAATCACCCACTACATACCTCGCCTTGACTCCTATGCCAACCATCACTCCATCTGTGTTTCTCCCTCTCCCCACCTACTGCAGAAGCCCTGGCAGGCTCAAATTCCCCTTTCACTACTTCATTCCTTCATTCTCTGAAGCCCAGATTCACCAGGGCTCTCAGATCAGTCTGCCTAAGTGGCTGCTCACCCCATCATATGCCCTCCATGATGGGAAATAGGCCAAGAAGGAATGAGTGGGTCAGAAATTACTCTGCTTTTAACCTTGGGATTTGGGAGCTGAAATGTCTACGTATCTGGGAAACCTGAGTCCCAGAGTGATACCAAGGCTGTATAATGACAGTGTCTACTTTGGATGCAAAGGTGAATAAAACTCCAGGTGGGGGGCACATCTGAGGGAAAAGAAAGACGATTTTCCTTTCATCTTTCTCTGCGCTGAATCCAACCACAGTTATAGTAGAGGGTCCCCAACGAGCATCTCAAAGCCTCCAGCTGGGCTAGCTTGCCCTGCATTTGCTGGATGATTGCATTGTCTCCACACGTTTTGCAGACTACCACAGCCGAAGATACTTGAGGGCTAAGAGTTAAACTTTCCCTTATTCAAACTTATTTGGTGTGAGCGTCACATCTTCAGTCTTAAGCAGGGTCATTCTCCCAGAATGCACTCTCTGAAGATTATAATAATGATAATAATAGCTGTCAGTTATTGACTGCTTCAGATCCACTAAGCACCATGAATGATAAGCTCTACATGTTATCTATCTCAGTTACCTTCACCACCCTTGAGGGTTGTAGTCCCATTTTATAGATAAAGATATGGAGGCTCAGAAATATTAATAACTTAAAAGGAAGAAAAAATGACTTAGAACATAAATTATATACCTAGCCAAACTATCTGTCAAAGAGATAGACACTTTCAGACATACAGACTCAGAGTTTAACTTCCACAGGCCTTCAGTGAAAATACTAAAGAATGTACAGAGCAAGAAATGTGAACCCAGAAACATGTATTAGAGTGAAAAAACATAACTGGTGAAGAAAAGAGTGGAGGGGAGTGTATCTAAATTGGTATTATTTTTTAAATAAGATATTAAAACATGCTCTAACTAAAATTCCAGATGATCACCACATGGGAGAATAGAGAAAATAAGATTGAATTTTAAAAGAATTCATTTTTAGGGAGCTAGAAATACTATACTACTTTTTAACACATCACTCTCATAAACTGTTGAATCCATCAATCAAAATAAGTAAGGATAAAGAAGATTTGAATAATACAACAAGCTTGATCAGGCAAAGAGACAAACGGCGATATCGACAATGTTCTCCATTGATATCAGGACCCCACAAATAGCATGTCAATTTTTATTAATCACATTTGAAGCCCATATAGGTCTAATAAATAAGAGAAAGTCTGGTATCTCATTAAATGAAACTTTTCAATCTCTGCATTGACATACAACAAATAACAGAAAAATAAAGAAATAGAGATAGGTACTATTTAAGAACATAGGTATAAAAGTCCTTTCATGAAATATTTTGGAATCTATTGGAATAATACACAAAAAGGATAATCCATTCTGATTTCTTGTCGTTAGCTGTCATCAAGTTGGCCTCACCTCGTGGTGATCCAGTGCACAACGGGATCAGACCATTGTGATACACAGACTTTGCACTGGCTGATTTTCGGAAGTAGATCAGCAGGTTTTCTTCCTACTCCTTAGTGTGGAAACTCTGCAGAACCCTGCTGAGCAACATAGCAACACACAAGCCTCCAATGACGGGGGAATTGAACCCAGGTCTCCCACATGAAAGGCGAGAATTTTACCGCTGAACCACCACTGCCCCATCCATTCTGACTACCCGTTACCCATTGCCATTGAGTCGATTCCGACCAGATTTTATTCTCGACTGTAAGGACAAAACACTGAATAATTCCATGACTTTGACAACTCCCTATTGACTTTAAAATACAAACAAATACAAACAGTAAATGAAAATGGTGCTATAACATGAAAAGGAAAGATTTCTGTCCTCACCTGAAATCCACTCTCTCATCTCAAAAAAAAATCAGTTTATATTTTCTTCTGTCATGCAAAGTGGTTTAATAAAGCAGAGTGTTGTGGATTAGACTGTGTCCCTCCCCCCAAAAAAATAAGTATTGAAATCTTAACCCCTATACCAGTGCCCTGGTGGGGTAGTGTTTAAGAGCTAACCGAAACGTCAGCAGTTCAAATCCACCAGCCGCTCCTTGGAAACCCTATGGGGCAGTTTCACTCTGTCCTATAGGGTCACTATGAGTCAGAACCGACTCAACAGCACCTAATAACAACAACAAATACTAGTGGAAAGGAGCCCTGGTAGTGCCATGGTTAAGTGCTGGCCTACTAACAGCAAAGTCTGTTCAAACCTACCAAGCAGCTCCATGGCAGAAAAGACCTGGCGATCTGTTCCCATAAAGATTACAGCCTAGGAAACCCTCTGGGGGCAGTTCTACTCTATCCTATAGAGTTGTTATGAGTTTGAACTGACTGAGCAAACAACAACATACCTGTGGATGTAATCCCATTTGAGAATAGGGTTTTCCTTGTTATGTTAATGAGGCCATATCAGTATAAAAACGAAACCCAAAACCAAACCCGTTGTCGATTCTGACTCATTGCAACCCTACAGGACAGAGTAGAACTGCCCCACACGGTTTCCAAGGAGCGCCTGGTGGATTCAAACTGTCTACCTTTTGGTTAGCAGCCATAGATAGCTCTTAACCATTACGCCATCAGGGTTTGGGTGTCCTAAACCTAATCACCTCTGAGATATTAAAAAAGTAGATTAGACACAGAAGCAAGCAGAAACCTGGGAAGGGAGATCTAATGAAGGAACACTCAGCCTACCTACAAGGAAGAAATAGATATGGCTGAGACCTCTATTTGGACTTTTAGCTCCCAGAATTGTGAGAAAATAAATTTCTGTTCTTTAAAGTCACCCATTTGTGGTATTTTTGTTACAGCAGCCCTAAGAAACTAAGACACAGAGTAATGATATATTTTCGTTTCAATAGTTCAAAGCAAGAAAACATTATGGACACTCCAATGATACTAATAAAGTACTGAGCTCCATTTCATCTGTGCTGTCTTCTCTTTCCATATCAGTATAGGGTGTGTCCTAAATCTAACTACCTCTGAGATGTAAAAAGAACAGATTAGATGCAGAAGTGAGCACAAACCCGGGAAGGCAGATGTAACCAAGAAATGCCCAGGCTGCCAACAAGGAAGGAATCGACACAGCTGACTAAGAGCTTAAAATCTGAAGCACTTAGTTCGCGGAAAGCTATGGCTTATAGCTAGAGCCCTGACCCCACCCTGAGATTTGATATAGAATCTAAAAATCCATTTTACCGCTTTGTTAAGTTATTCCTTTAATGCTTACTTGACATGACAAAGGCTTCTACCTAAAGTACAGGCCAGAATCTCTCTTGGCCTCTTGACCATTGTTCAGAACTTAGTTCTACTTTAAAAAATGTTTTACAATTTGCTCTTACTAAAACTTGGGATAGTCTGTTAAAGTATCAACCAATCAGATACATCTATTAACTCATTGTGGCTTCTTTGCTAAAGCTACTTAACGTTTTAGTATATTCATAGTTTTTCCTGTAATTCCTATCAATACGTATAATTTTTACTATAACTGTTTAACAAGTATATAATCAGAGTGTGATTATTGCAGTGTTCATTAATTTTCCTGTAAGTGCTTAACATGGCTTAGTTCCTCTTTTAACCCTTTAAAAAGGCTTGTGGGATAGTTCCACCCCAGACTACTTGGTTTCGTTTTGGTAGACCAGGTAGTTCCCCAACTGCAATTGTGTTCAGCCTTAATAAACGTCTTTGCTTTTAAAATTTCAGACAAGTGTCCAAGTCATTTTGCTCATTCACATAGCCAAGATCTCTATTTGGACTTTTAGCCTCCAGAACTGTTAGAAAATAAATCTATGTTCTTTAAAGCCACCCATTAGAGGTATTTTTGTTACAGTAGCACTAAGAAACTAAGACACAGAGTAATGGTATATTTTAAAGTTTCAAGAGTTCAAAGCAAGAAAACATTGTGGACACTCCAATGACACTAATAAAGTGCCAAGCTCCATTTCATCTGTGCTATCTTCTCTTTCTTTTCTTAATGTTTTTTAGGACATCCTTCTTGGCCTCTCACTTTCTCTGCTTCGCTAGCAAGTCTGTCTGCAGTCAGTGCTATTGCCAATCTCTCCCTTGCCGTCTTCACTTTCCTTTCCTGTTTCCTAATATCTTCATCGGTTACCAGAAATGGTTTGCAGAGGAGCTGTGAGATATCAAGACCTGATCCTGGGATCATCTTCACCAAGTCTGAAGATGGGCCAGGGGTGGGCATGGAGATGGAGTGCAGATCACCAGCAAGAGCCTGGGGTAGGGATTCACCTGTGTAACTACGTGCAGTCTTTTGCAAGGCTTTGACAAGATCCAAAGTACTTAGAAGTTCCCCCGCACTGCTGTAGGCCTGGAGTCCTTGCAGTCTCTTCTGCCAACAGACCTGCTGGGGCTTGTCCAAATTCTCCTCCCATTGATGGCACCTGACTTCACTGCCAGGATGGGAAGTAATTCTAGTAACTCGTCTCTTGAATACATAACTGGACATCCTCCAAGGAATTGAGATGTTTAAACCAGGTTTTGGCTTGGCTTGGGTTACACAATCACGTTGCTTCCTCTGTGAAGTCTGGACCATCATACTTCTTTTCCTCTTATCCTATAAATTGTGAAATTGGATCAAAATGTAAATGAAGCCTGCCTCCTATGGGCAATTATCTTGGCTCATTTGGACTGCTACCCTTCCTCTCTCTTAAGGATAAGTATGACCTACATCCTGGGGTGTCATCAAGCAATCAAGCAGATGAGTCAAGAACAGAAAGCTCAAAGCCAATATTCTAGGCCTTCTCCAGATCATTTCTCCTATACCATCCTGTAAAACTCCCTTCTTATTTGAAAATGATTTTTTTTTCTTTTTGTCCTTGTCACTTTCACCTGCACAAGTCCTTGTATTTCTACTCATGACACAAGGTCCCCGGTCTTTATCTAAGTCCCAAATCCTGTTTTATTTTACTAGTCTTTTACTAATCCATTCACCACTTCGTTTTCATAGCTCATTTAGAGCCTAAATATTGAATAGTGAAATTATCAGCTGCCCTATCCGTAGTGACTCACGCCCATGTCCCAGATGTTTTCATTAAACCCAAGTGCTCATGCTCAAGACTAAATAATTCAGAAAACTTATTAACTCACGACAAATTTCTGAGTTACAGCTTTTTTTAACCCACACAATAGATACTTGTTCCTCAAGATCAAAGTTACAACAGTCCATATCCTCAACTTACTTTCTTCCATCTTTTCTCTTCCTATTTCTATCCATCTTGGATACCATCATCCATGATCTCAATCATTTCCTTGGAATAACCCCAAATTCCTTACCTTTCATCATATCTGCCTTATAAAACTTCAAACCTGGAAGATTCCAATTATCTGCCATGCCATGGTTACTGCTGGTCTTACTATAACTACTGAAGAAAAAGCACACAACATAATATTTTGGTACCACCATAAACACAAGTAGAGGGTCATCGAAAAAGAGGAAGACCCTCAATGAGATGGACTGACACAGTGGCTGCAACAATGGGCTCAAGCATAACAATGATTGTTAGGATGGCGCAGGACCGGGCAGTGTTTCATTCTGTTGTACACAGGGTCGCTATGAGTCAGAACCAACTCAATGGCACTTAACAACAACAACATAAACACAAAATCATCAGCATCACCTGGGAACCATTTATGATGCCTGGAAATTTTACTTTCATTTTATTTGTTGGTGTATTTATTTGAGAGACTAAATGAACCAATGGACAATGGCCAGACCACATAAAAACAGAACTCTGATCCACTATCTGCTCTACCAGCCTAGGATGTCAAGCCACTATCTGCAGCTACCAGTCCAGGAAGCCAAACAACAATCCCTGTAACAACGGGCCCAAAATGGCCAGATCTTCATAAGTAACCTACAGCTTCCTTAATTTTTGTCCCTGCTTCCAACTTAGGACCAACCAGAGAAAGCCAAATATACCCTCCAAAACAATCAACATAAAATGCACTGTGTGTAGTTAGCCCACTTTCAGCTTCCCCATGCCAACAGCTTCTGGTCAGCGCATACCTGAAGCCTTCCCTTGTTTCCACTTTATAGCTTTCCCACTTTACTTTCTGCCTTTGAGTCTCTGCCAAACTTAAGTGATGGTGTCTGACTCCCTTGCTACAGCAAGCTCTGAATACCTAAACTTTATTTGTTCTTAGATGGGTGTTTTTTTGTTGCTTGTTTTTTGTTCCATTTCCACTTCTTTTTTCCCAAAGCCTGTTTCAAAATTTCTTCACTCTTCACATACGAACATAATTTCCCTTAACTTGCCTGATACTTCAACAAGAAATTGCAAACTACTGGGTTTAAATTTTACTGTCTGGTTGCCAAATCTGCAAATACCTCTGATAGGCTTCTATTGTCTCCAAATTTCCTCTAACTATATTCAAAAAGATATCTTTAATCCTCCAGTGGTGGTCTGGGCCTCAGCCCTTTTCCCTTCTTAGTAACCTTATGCTCCCAACATTCCCGTGTAGCACCTGTATTTTCAATCTCTCTTTTTCTACTGAATCCTTCCTTCAACATTTATATACATTCATATCTCTCCCAACTATACAAAAATCCCTCACCTAGCCTTCCTAGGACCCTCCTAAACCACTGCTCTTTGTACTCCTTCCTTTTAGCTGTGAACCACTGAGAAAGGGTCATCTATATCATATGTCTCTGTCCACTCACCTCCAACCAACTCCTCAGACCACTCCAAACTTCCTTCTGCCTTCACAATTCTATGGATGCTTCCCTTGATAGGTCACAATGACCTTATTGTTACCAGATCCAATAGGAGCTTTTCATTATTTATCTGACATGACCTTTAGGTGCAAAACTTTTAAGTATGTATGTTTGAAACAACTTTGATATGTGTATCTTCTTTCACAGCTGTGAATCTTATAAAATCTAAATACAGAGCAGGTATATCTGATAAGTCAGCTAAAGAACTGAGAAGTGCTCTACGTGGAAAAGACAAACTGGATTTCTGGAACTCAGCACACACACACAAAAAGAACATAAAGTATCTCATTACTAATTTTTACGTTGATTGCATGTACAAATGATAATAAATTTGGACACAATGTGTTAAATATACTATTAAAATTAGTTTCACCTGTTTTTTTTTGTTTTTTTGTTGTTTTTTTAACTTTTCGTGTGATTACTAGAAAATTTAAACTTACATAATGTAGAGTGCGTAATACCACTATTACGCAGCACTAGTCCAAGACATGTATCAAAGAGAAAAATTAATAGCAGACATCTTACTTTGATTTTAAGGTTTTCTTACCCAAGAAACCAAATATTCATTATAGAGAAATTCTTGACCAAAATTAATCCTGCCAGCTGCTTTTCTTTCACCCAAAGATACTTGTTCCTCAAGATCAAAGTTACAACAGTCCATATCCTCAACTTACTTTCTTCCATCTTTTCTCTTCCTATTTCTATCCATCTTGGATACCATCATCCATGATCTTAATCATTTCCTTGGAATAGCCCCAAATTCCTTACCTTTCATCATATCTGCCTTATAAAACTTCAAACCTGGAAGATTCCAATTATCTGCCATGCCATGGTTACTGCAAATCTTTTCTTTCTTTTTGGAAGCCAGACTTACTAAATTTGAATTTCAAAAGATATGGCTGAGTGGAGGGGCAGAGACCATCTTGTGACCTGGTTATCTATTGATCTCAGTAAAAGAGGGCAGGATTCAGTAAACCAAGTTAAGATCAGCCAGTGGTTGATTTTCTATATTTCTCCCTCCTCTTCTCTTTATAAGCTTCATTGTACCTAGCTGCTTGGAGCCATTTGCTTTTTCTGGAATCAAAATGGTCTCCCACCTCCCTGTATGCATGCAGTGGAGCCCTGGTGGTGCAATGGTTAAGCGCTCAACTGCTAACCAAAAGCTTGGTGTTTCAAACCCACTAGTGGCTCTGTGGGAGAAAGATGTGGCAGTCTGCTTCTGTAAAGATTGCAGCCTTGGAAACCCCTGTCCTTTATGGTCACTATGAGCTGGAACTGACTCAACGGCTATGGGTGGTGAGTGGATATGCATATAGAATAACTGTTCAGAGTAAGTCTTATGTTCAAATTTTGTTGAGTTTTTTAAACACATGAATGAAAACTAAGCCTACACAAAGTGGTCAGGGGAGAAAATTCCCAAGGAAAGGTGTCTTCCTCCCCACTCCCACATCAAGATGCAGCAACCATACACACAAACACATAAATACATACATACATAAACACACACACACTTACAAAACCAAACATCATTCCACAGTCCACTACTGTTTCTCAAATGCCATGAAGTTGCACTCCTGTATAGTTCTAACTGCGTTGATCTTGAGAGAGAAGCCGAATATTGACATAATTTACTGGTTTGGGAAAAGCCAAAACCAGAGACAAAGAGTCAAGACCAATGGCAGATCTCTAGATCCACTGGTAGCTGAGGTCCTCATTCTGGCCCCACAGACAGCCCTGCAGCTCACATTCAGCAAGGTGATCCTCATGGTTGGCCCTGAGCATGCCCTGATGACATCAGAGGGTCTTCGGTTTGCTGTCCAGGCCCAGTGGCCCCTGCCCACCACTGACGATACCACCAGGGAGATCAAATTGAAGATGGATCTGATTCAGCCAAGAAAGCTTGGAACGTGAGTCTCCCACATGTACAAGAGGAGATGGCTCCCTAATGCTGCCAGACCCCAATGGGACCCTCCAGAAAACCCTTTTCATGGGATCAGCCCTTCTGCCCTAAGAACCTCCTTCAACCCACACTTCTATTTTCCCCTCAACCCTATCCCCTGCCACTACACCTAGTCCAGAAATGCGTTTGTGGCTGGCCAACTTCAGCTTAGACCTCCACGGTCTGGGGTCCATATCCAGCTCTGCACTCCAACCTCTGCCTTCCTCACCATTCAGGGTCCCAAACCTCCTACAGGGGCCATCACAGGCCTCCTAACAGTGTCCAAAAATGTCTCTTCCAGAGGTGAATGACCTCAAGTGGCACCCTCGCCACATCCAGGATTGATCAAGTGCTTAGTCTGTGTGTACTCTACAATCAAGAAACAGAAACACGCCGCTCATAAATTTTGGGCAATGGCACCTTCTTAGGTATGTCCCAGGATCATCCATAACTCTGGACATCAGGCAATCTATGATGCTACAGATGCTGCAGGAAAGGGAAGAACTGCTAGGAATTCAGACAAAATGCTCCTGTACTCATATGGCAGATGCTCTTTCTTGAAAATTCTCATCCTTATCCAACTACATGGGTCTAACCACACTCAGCCAACTCGCTACTGCCTCTATGTGAAAGTTCTGCTCCCAGCACTAGTTCACCTGAAATTATCTTGTTATTGTTGTTGTTAGGTGCCGTTGAGTTGGTTCCAACTCATAGCCACCCTACAGGACAGAGTAGAACGGCCCCATAAAGTTTCCAAGGAGCAGCTGGTAGATTTGAACTGCCGAACTTTTCGTTAACAGCTGAGCTCTTAACCGCTATGCCACTTACAGGGTAATTATCTTATAGGGTTTTTTGTTGTGGTGGTGGTTGTGAATAAGTG